TTAAATCATGCAAACATGCGGCATGCTCACTTATGTCTACTTAACTAATAATATTAATAATATAATTTGGACATATTGTCCATCCCCTTTTTTACTGCTATGTTTTGCTAAATAACTTAAGTCTACTTGTTTCCTTAATCTATGTTAGTACATGTTTGTGTAAAAATATGTCATGTCCGGTGTGGGGAGGTCGGTCCAGATATAGCTGTTTCAGACTTCAGTCAAATTTCTCATTATATTTACAGTGTCATAATCTCTCAGACGTATCGCACTTTTGGTGTTATAACGGATTATTGTCTCCGTGGCCGCGCCTGTCGTTCGCTTTATGAAGCGGCTTACTGCGTCGTCGCTGTCGTCTGTGTAGTAGCAACAGCTGTGTGTATGTCGAGACACAGCTACCACGGCGTGCGGGATGCTGTCGTGCAGTTTCGTTCGAATCCCCTTGGTTCTTATGATGCAGGTGTTCTTGCATGTTTGTCCCTGGGCTTCGTGTATGGTAAGGATCTTGGATCCAGTCCCACTTCCATAGCCTTTGGCGCTCAAGGTTCCCTTCTCCTCTTGTGTATGTACTAGATACAGTGTATCTGGGAGAAGGGGTGGGATATTTGCCCCGGTATATCCTGTTAGATGGAGCGACCGGATCCGGGGTCTGTCGGAATATATCCCGTCATACACAGCGCTCAGGGCAAACGCGACATCCAGGGGGTTTCTCCTGGTGCAGAGCAGCTCTCGCGTGATATTTGCCACAACATGCGGGGTCTCGTACCTCAGACGGAACAGGTTTTCTCTGTCAATGTAGGGCAGCTGATTTATGTCGCCCAGAAGTACGACCCTCTGTGCTCCTGTTATGCGGGTGATGAGGACTAAGGAGCCAAGGTGGTTCATGAGAGCCTCGTCAACTATGAGACGGTTGTAGCTCTCTTTTGATCCATTTACCTGGAGGGATGCCATCGTCTTTACCTGTCTTGCAAAGTGGTTTCCCCACTTTGCCGATATCCTCCCTCTCAGGTCCCCGGCTGCCTCAGTCGTGGTCGTTATTATTAGGTCGCTCTTCGGGTCGAAGTTTTCTACCGCCCATGTTGACTTCCCACACCCCGGGACCCCGTTGACCCATTCGATTTCGGGCACAGTCCATGACTCCGTCCCTGAGCTCAATACTGTGTCCGCCATCTTCAGGATTTTGTCGTCCAGCATCACTTTTGTGAATTTGGCTGTGACGACAATGGGGTCATGATGCTTGATATTAAACTTCAGTTCCGTTCCGTTGTGGTCTCTGAGCGCTTCGACAAAACCCTCTGTCCCGCTGAAAGCCGCCATGTATGGTCCTTTCATGGTCCCATATATGGTCTTTTGGGCGTTATTGTCATAAATGGCGGCTTCCTCGCCCTTCAGGAGTTCCTGTAGGAGGCCTATGTTGTTCCATTGGAAGGCCTCCAGTATTCTCCTGCATTTATTGGCGTGCAGTTCCATGGATGCACGCAGGGTGCCCAGGAACTCGCTGAGCGCGTTCACCCAGCGGGTCCGGAGGTCCTCGCTTATCTCTAGCACTGGCGCCACCACTTGGCCCATATCCTCCCTTGTCCTGTTTTGTTTACTTGTTTTATTATGCAGTTGAGCTGTGTCCGATTTTGCGTTTTTCAGGCTTTTGTGTGATCCCTTTTGTTTTGTTGTTGCGTCCAGTAGGGATTTGGGGGCAGAGCGGATGGCTTTGGTTATTGTGCCAATAAAGCCCTTAATAGCTTGTGGCACGCCCTGCTCTTTCCGCTCCTTTTCCTCCTCCCTTTGAAGGTCTCTAGCTCTTTCCACACTGACCTGCATCTTTTGCGATCCGCTGGTGGTAGGGTTTTTTGGCGCATTGCGGTCTGGCATGACGATGTTACCCCCTGGTCGTTTGGGGGGAAGGAGGAAACTTAGGTCGTCTCCCCTGTTTTCATAGGCCACGATCTTGTGGATCTTTGAAGCCAGGAGACTTCCAAGGTGATCCGTGGCTTCTCCTCTATCGTACTCTATCCACATCGCGTCGACGCTGATGGTGTTGGATCGTGCTGTTGGTATTGTTAACAGCAGACGCAGGAACCTGTCTGCCTGGGCGAAAGAGGACCCTCTCGAGGTTTGAGATTGTTCGAACAATAGGATGGTTTTGTTCTTTATTCTCAGGAGGCGGAATAAATTGTCCTCTATGCTTCGTCTTGGCAAGGTGTTGTAATAGGCCCTTTTCAGTGTGGTCTTGGTGGTGCTTCCATTATGTAGAGCGGCCAGGCCTGGCGAGATGGAGATTCTGCCGCTGCCTGATATGTTGGTGTACGCCAGGCCGAGTTTCTCTTCGGAGCTGTCCATGAATAGTGGGACGCCGCGTATCTTAATGCCTGGCTCGCCTCTTTCTGCATGTGCCATCAATAAGTGAACCGTGGCTGGGATTGCGGTGACTGCTTCCTGGTTTGGAAGTGCAATCCGCACACTGCTCATTGATGGCAGGTTTGAGGCTGTCCCTTGCACTTCTGGCACGGCCCCGTGCAGGGTCAACCCATTCCTTCGCGCCACCACGCTAAAAGACCTCTCGGCAAATTCCCAGAAAACTGAACGTGATGATTTATCGCTCAGGATGTTATGGAGCTCAGTCATTTTCAGTTTCTGGTTCAATGCCATCTCCACGTCTAGTCTCTGCATAGCGAAACGTGGACACTCCGTTATTATGTGCATTATGTTTTCGATTTTATTGGGATCACACTCGCAGGCGGGGCTGTTCTTTAGGCCGAATCTGTGTAAGTACTCCGATGTACCCCCGTGTCCCGTCAGTATTTGCACCTGGGTGTGGGTTAGCTGTGTAGATCTTGCTAATCTGTATGCGCAGTCAACCTTGGGTAAAAAGATTTTGGTTACCCTCCCTGCGCTAGAGGCATCGTAACGGTCCTGCCACTTCCTGACCGTTTCCTCTCTGATGGTTTTTCTGACGTATGACAAAGGGACCCGGTCGTACTCAGCCTCGTTTCCGCTGAGGGCTGTGGCTTTTGCCAGATCGTCCGCTCTCTCGTTTCCGGCTGTGCCTACGTGGGCCCTTAGCCAGAAGAAGTTGATATCCCCGCCTTTGGCCCTGAGTATTTTTATATCCTGTTTTATTAGTTTCGTTAATGGGTGCAGCGCTTCTGGGTTTGTCAGCAATTCCAGTGATGATAGTGAGTCACTAAGTATGTTTGCCGACTTTACCCCGCTGCGAACAACCATTTGTACTGCCTTGTGTAAAGCGTACATTTCGGACTGGAATACTGTGCAAGTGGGGTCCAGTACGAACTGCACGCTGGATTGTTCCGAGGAGTCTTCCCACCATGTCGCCGCCGCGCCTACCTTTCCACCTATCTTGCTTCCGTTGGTGTAAATGCACGGCCCTCTCAAGTTTGGGAACTCCTCGGATGTGTTATTTTGTATTTTTGAGTAGGTGATAAGTGTAGTTTGTGATGGATGGCCCCGCTCCAGGAAGCTGACGTTCCTTTCTACTATTTTTCCTGGAGGGGGAACATGTTGGCAGCACATAGGTTTGCACGCTGCACTGCTGCTGTTAAATTGACACTTTTTAAAGCATACTGTCAAAATTTTTATGCATGCAGCCTATGGACCAACTTTACTAAAAGTGCCTACAATGCCCTAAGAGTTATGTATAATGACATATTCAGGGCTCTGTTTCGACTTCCACGCTACTGTAGTGCATCTGGCATGTTTGCGGACGCAAGCACTGATGATGACTTTTATGCTATTATGCGTAAAAAAGTCGCGTCACTGGTGCATCGGCTGCGGGGAGGTTGTAACAGAGTCCTGAGTATGTTAGCAAATAGAATGGACTCCCCTCTGCTCGGTCAGTTCATCAAACTACATGTTCGGTGACCAGGCCGAGGGGAGGGGGCAGTAAAAATTAGTAAAAATTAATATTTTTTTTAATTATTTTAATTCTGAAATTATTTATTTTAATTATTTCTATAGGTATATGTTATTGATTTAATTATGTTTATTTATGTTATAATGATGATTGAAATTGTAATGAAATACTAACATAGGTTAAGAAAAATTGTTACTAACATAATATATGAGACTAATGTCTTGAAATAAATGATTTTTATTTTATTTTATTTTATTATTTATAATATAATAAATAGTAGAAATCCCACAATCAACTATACAGGTGTTGTACGCGTTTATCAAGCTCACTGAGTATTGCATTGTATGCTTAACAAGTATTTATTTTTGGTTCACTTTGAAGGCAACGTTCGTCCTCATCAACAGCCTATCCTAGTCCACTGCTGGACATAGGCCTCTCCAATTGCACGCCACTCAGATCGATCTTGGATCACTCGCATCCAGCTCCTGCCAGCCACCTTGCGCAAATCGCCAATCCACCGTTCCTGAGGACGTCCTACATTACGTTTGTCTAGACGCGATCTCCACTCCATAACTCGTCTACCCCAACGGTTATCGGTTCGTCGGCAAATATGGCCAGCCCACTCAGTGGGCTGGTCACTTCAACTTGCTAATCCGGTGGGCTATGTCGATAACTCTGGTTCTCTGTCCTAGACAACAAACAAACAAACAAACCTTCGTCCTAGACAAGTTTATTCTAAGTTTATTATAAGGTAGAAGTTTATTCCAATACTTGGTTACTAAATACTGAAAGCTGCCACAGAAAGTAGCATTTAGTTATATTATACACATTCAGTAGCAAACTAGCTATCCATCCATAGCCATCTTCAATAAATTGGCCTTATTGAGAAAAGGCGTGACATGCGTTCAGGGTGGCACTCTGAAACAAAATCCCGCGCAGGTATTTTGAACTTGTTGTAAAAGTTTTTTGTAAACTAAACAAAGGAAGACTACAGTTAAGTTTCGAGAGTTAGCTCTAAACTCCACTAGCTTATGGTAATAATAAAAACATTTGACACTTACTGTTTTTTAATATAGTAACAGTTATCATACATAATTATTTGGAATGCCATATTTAAAGGGGTGAAATTATTTTATTCTTCATTATAACCTTTTAGGAACATATAATTTTTGATATAGAAGTCATCCCAGAAATCCATTCTGTCTCGTAGAGGTCTTTCTTCCATTTTTAATGTGGAGTCTATGTGAAAATACTCTGATTCGTTTGAAATCGGTAACCATTCTGTAGTCAACAGATCTGTGATTTCAGGTGAGGGGTCTCTGAAATCAAGAATAATATGCATTTATTTCAAATTTAGTATTTACTTAAAAATGAGCAAAGTGCTTACAAAAAATAATGAAACTGATGCTGATAGTGTAACTCATAATTAATTCGCTGTATTGCATCGTGTATGATTATGCTTTAGTAATGTGGTGTTATTCGGCAAATGACACTTCAAATATTATACAATTGCATTGGAGCATGTGGACCTGACATTCACTGACGTTGTAAAGGATTTCTACTTGAAAGTGAAATTTTGTATTTATTAAGTCCCGTCTTTATTGTTTTTGTTTCTTTCTAAACAAACTAGTATCTACTATGGCGTTTGTTTGTAATTATAGACCACAATAACTACAAGATCTGATATAAAGAGACTGCTTGATGCTTTTATGTTTTTTTTCCCCTTTTTCGTGGTTCTTAAAGTACTTATTGTATATCTATTTCACCTACCCATATTTAGCAAAGTTAGTCCACATTGTCGTGACACGATCTAAAATTAATAAATCTTCGGGAGATTGTTTCTCTGCCAAGTAATTGACATCAAATAGATATCCAATATCATCGGAGTGAACAGCGCTGCCAGCAGTGACATTACCAGCAAATTTAGCACTATTCCTTCCACCATTATATGAGAACATGTATTGGTATACACTCTTTGATTTTCCTTGTATGAATTTCTTTATACTTCTTTGTATTGGATAAATGTAAGTAAAATCAGAATCAAAAAATGCCGCAATTGGTATAGAGGCTGATTTCAAATTTTCATTACCCAAATAGAAATCTTGAATATCACTTACAGATTCATTTAATCTTTCGTCATTAAAATTAAACTTATTCAGGAGTCTATTCATAATGATTATTGAAAAGTCTGAACTTAAGGAATTTATGTTAGCCATAAGAAGTTCATGTTCGCAAAATCCTATAATAATCGGCATATCTTTGACTTTTTGAATATTTGCATTTACCCAATATCTTGTTAAAAAGGGAGAAACATCCTCAAATATTTGTTCAGTACAAGGCTTGTAAGTTATAGATAGATCATTCGATGCTTGAATAACTAAATTTGGCTCTAGAGTTGAAAGGTAATTAATTGCATCTGTTAAAGAATTGGCGTTATAAGATAGTTCTTCTGCTATTCTTAGCGGAGCCACTTTATCGTGATCAGTAAAAACTGTAGCCGCTTCTGCACTCCCACTTTGTATAATTGCATTGCTAAAAAGATTTTCATTGACAGATAGGAGGTGAAACTCAATTGAATGCCCACCGGCGCTTACTCCAAATACAGTGATTTTAGTTATATCACCTCCAAATGATTCAATGTTTTCTCTGATCCATCTCAAAGCTAACACTTGGTCTTTAAGTCCTTGGTTGCCTGGCACTTCAGGGATATCTAAGCACATAAATCCATATGGTCCTAATCTATAGTTTATCACTACTAAAATTACATCATGTCGTACTAAATATTTTGGTCCATAGGTGTTGGTAGATTTGGACCCACCGAAGAAACTACCGCCATGGATATGTACCATTACCGGCAGCCGATGGATATTATTTGCTTTTGTTGGTACAAAAATGTTCAGTTGTAGGCAATCAATTGAACCTTGAGGTATTTGGTTTAGAATCTGGGGACAAAATATTGAATCGTCGACTGCTTCAAAAACTTCATCGAATTTCGGATGCCGCTCTGCTACCTGCAAGGAATTCATTGCATTATTTTCAATATAACGTATCACAAAATATATATCATGTAAATAATTATGAAATATAGAAATTTATTTTATCGTAAACTTTTGTATAATGTTTTATTTCTTAATCACATAAAAATTAGATGAATGTGTGTGATGTTATCTCGACACACGGCGGAAAGTACGAAATACAAATATCCTAACTATACACGGGTATGACGTCGATAATTCTATAATAGCACTTACCAGCCCTTTAGTGCAACTAGTATTCTAAGCTGTTAACAGTAAAAGGACACCCGAAGAAAGTAGACATACCTTAGAAAATGCACACAAGTAATGGTTCGAATACATACATAAGAAACAAAACTATTAAAACACGACAATGGCATTATGAACAATACTATAATATACACAAACCTTGCACACTCCTCGCATCATTTTCCTATCACAGGGAGAAAACGGAAAAGGGGAGAAGCAACTTCTCTTTTGGCCGTAGCGACAAAAAGTTTCGCTGATGTTTCCATTTTGCCGCGGTCATGTGCAATGAAAGGCTTCATATAAAAGAGCGGCTCGCAGTCGACGGCATTGCTACTGCAGCCGTCGTCACCTTTCGGCGGCAGTAGACGATCCACCGAGCCGAGACGGCTACAGTTGCGAAGCCACTCATATATATGAAACCTTAGATTAACGTTCATAATTTGTAAAATAGAACTATTCATTAAATGTTGAACTACTCACTCCGAATAAATTAGATCGATTAACGACTCCATAGGGTATTCCGAAAAAAGCATAGTAATCACCATCAGACGCTTTGACTCCACTTACACTTCCCACTGGCGTGTCTACGATAATGTATGAACAAGTAACATAACATAACGCATTAAGTAAAATAAACAGCTCGAAACGCCACATTCTTCATGAAAGTCAACGACCAACTACGACAGAAATATGATAACGTGCTCTTACGAAAGTTAATCTTTATTTTGAATGTCAAAAATGGTACTAAGGCTATAGATTACGAAACATCTCAACTTTTTACGACATGTATTACAGTTCTCTAAAATATACGGTCATCGTTACGTGTTTCAAATACTTGCTTTAATGATAACAATCGGAAACATAATAATATTTGTAGCTGCAAATTTTTAAAGCAAACCTTATCTCAAACAAAATTTTAAACCGAATCATTCTTTATTCTGTCAGAGCTTTCGCAGAGGGATGAATTAATAAGTAAATTCATCCCTACTGCTAATAAGACATTAACTTATGTAGTCAATAAAAACAGGCCGCCCTTCCAGTAAAGATTTATTCCTTTCTCCTCCCCGGGACTTTTGAATAATGAAAACTAATTATTTTCGCCGACATTATGAATATGAATCGCCGGCGCTCATCTTTTTTTATTTTTCTTGGACAATAAACGACTTCGCGGAGCGAAACGGTCGCAACGGTCTTCAAACAATATTGTCCTTGGATAATGACAATGGATCTTCTTCCTTAAAGAGGCTTATAATTACTTTCTTAAGAGGCAAACGGGAAACAGCCAACGACTTAATTATAACAGAACTTCTTATTTAATCCCTGCTATATAACTATCTATACTAATATTATAAAGCTGAGGTTTGTTTGTTTGGTTGTTTTAAGGGTTCCGTACCTAAAAAGGAAAGAAGGAAACCCTTACAAGATCATTTTGTTTGTCTCTGCCAAGAACGCGTGGAGGTGAAGAGTTGAAATTTAAACCATATACTCAAATCTGCGGTCCCTTGAAGCTATGAAAAAATCAAACTTCTATCGTAAAAAAGGATACGACCGTTAAGGTATGTTACGCACCTACAAATTTGTATGGAACCCTTGATGTGCGGACCCGACTCGCACCTATCCGAATTTTTGTTTGAACGCGCTAATCGCAAGAATAAAAATCAAGTGAAAGAAGAAATAGCAATTAAAGTTATATTTTTATTTTTTGAAACAGTCAATGTTTCAATCAGTTAAATGCATAAAACATATAAAGAAAGAAGTTCTTCACTATTGTGATTTTGTTAACACACTTATTTATTATCACTTTGAGGTTTGTGTTATAGAATACTAGATAAAATATGTATAGATATATTTTATCCGGAAAAACATATAAACATTGAAAACTTAGGTGCAACTGATCCTATTTATCATACAAATATTTTCCTCTTCGGGATGCGTAAATACAACACACAAAGTAGTTGTTCTGTAGCATAGCCGGGTTCATATATATAAATAAATACAAACAGGGCTATACCACAGAATACATAAATATAAATCGAGATCTAGCCCATACAAATCGATATTTTTCTATGGCTTAAATCTAGTTTATCGAGTTAGCAAATTTGCTACAAGTGGGCCTTAATGATTAAAGTACACACAGCCATAGATCAAGTTATCTTTTTTATTACATGTTGACAGAGGTGACATGATGTTTTGCTGACGATGACGGTACACGTACAACCAAGTACTTATCTACTGATTGTCAACGTCAACAATCACTGAATCTGCTCATAGATTTCGTGGTAACAATAACCGGTGAACTAATAAATAAATAAATCAAATACGTCCGCGCATAGTGTAATACCTAGTCTACGTAATTGTACCTGAAGCGTGCAATCAAAACGCTCGAGGCGATTTATATGACCATCGTAAATCTCTGGTCAGTTTAATAATGTGATAATATCACTGCTCTGCATACAAGGGCGATGATAAACTGTGACAGGTGTGGTCACTCGTAACCCTGAAGTTATAATAAACAACTTCGTGTTCGCTACCATAATGAGTTGAATGCAAAGCACGTGATTGAATAATGCCTATTAAAATCTATAATGATAATATGCATTATCCATTATAGTAAGTTTGACAGATCAAAGTAAGTTGGATGCAATTCAATTTATTATGAAAATAAACTTCATGTTGACTTATCATAGTGTCTCTGAGGCTGCTTTTGCCCTTAACTCATTCGATATATATATATTTATAGCCAGGTAGGCAAATGACTGTACCCCACCTTTTTTTGTGACGCAGGCAAAATCTCTGTTTACAGACGACGGCGCCTTTAAGAGGCACACCGCCAAACGGACCTCACACCTGGCTCCCGCAATCCTTACAAGCCCCAGTAGTGGCTGCCCACTGAGGACCCCGTATCTAAGAACTCGTAAGAGACGAGTACTTTACGGCATAATATCCGCTAAAAAACCCTGCGAATACCCTGCTGCTGCTTAGTACGAAAGCGCGGGATCCCCGTTTAGGGATTCTTCCACGTCTCCGCACCCAATATTTGACTATTATGTGAAATAAAAGGAAAAAACGAGTCCAACACTTTTAAATAATCTATCTATCTCTAGTACCTGATAGAAGAGGAAAAAAAGTTAGTCATCATCCGTATTTGGACACAAGAAATATTAAGAGTCATTAAAACCAGTAAAACTGTTCGGACAAGTAATGCCCGGTTCCTTGGCAATTGCCCGAGTTAATAGCTGTAGAGGCCGGTTCAGGTGTTGCAGGCTCGTTGAACTTCCCGAACATTCATCCATTACGAAGGATCGGGGCTTACTGTCCCCCTACAAATTAATAACAGAGTCCACTTTTTGTTTGCTTCTTATTAGCTGCGAAATTCAGATTTATGTTGAGAATTTAATGTGTAAAGAAATTATAATTTACGAGGGAAGCCCGTAATACGAGCCTCCCGTCGTTTTGTTAATAACATTTTTGTTTGAGCGCCGCGTCGTGTCGCCTCGATCCAGAATAATTTTGTATATTCTCATTTTCGGGCTTTTTCGATTTTGGTTTATTGAGTTTTTTGTCAAATTTTCGATTTACGTTTAAAGCAATTCCAGATTACACTGAGCCTCGCTCCAAGTTACTCATTTATTGATTAATGTCAGTGAACTTCACTGCAAGAGATGCGCATATATAGGTTCCTTTTATAGTTTCCTATAAAAATGATGATTTGACTACCTACCTTGGCACGTATCTACGTAACCCTTACCCTACTCTACGTTAACGAGGGGTTAACACCAAGGTATTATAAATATTTATATTAATTTTTATACAATGTTTTAATTTTTTGTTAACTCATATATGTTATGGGCCAAGTGATTAATCGGGCATTATTCATAATGCCCAGTGCCTATTGGGCAGACTGATGTAAAGCATGTTTAATACTTTCAAATGAATACTTAGATAGACCGAGCATTACAAGTACTGAAATCAATTATCGGATAGAGTAATAATAAAAATATGTTTTATTGTTTAGTATTTATTTTTTAAATTTAAATAATCAGACTTCGGTTTTACCTCGTTCAACTTACGAAGGGCTATATTTAAAAACTATAGGCTATAGTAGTTTCCATGCAGTTTCCTATCACAGGGAGAAAACGGAAAAGGGGAGAAGCAACTTCTCTTTTGGCCGTAGCGACAAAAAGTTTCGCTGATGTTTCCATTTTGCCGCGGTCATGTGCAATGAAAGGCTTCATATAAAAGAGCGGCTCGCAGTCGACGGCATTGCTACTGCAGCCGTCGTCACCTTTCGGCGGCAGTAGACGATCCACCGAGCCGAGACGGCTACAGTTGCGAAGCCACTCATATATATGAAACCTTAGATTAACGTTCATAATTTGTAAAATAGAACTATTCATTAAATGTTGAACTACTCACTCCGAATAAATTAGATCGATTAACGACTCCATAGGGTATTCCGAAAAAAGCATAGTAATCACCATCAGACGCTTTGACTCCACTTACACTTCCCACTGGCGTGTCTACGATAATGTATGAACAAGTAACATAACATAACGCATTAAGTAAAATAAACAGCTCGAAACGCCACATTCTTCATGAAAGTCAACGACCAACTACGACAGAAATATGATAACGTGCTCTTACGAAAGTTAATCTTTATTTTGAATGTCAAAAATGGTACTAAGGCTATAGATTACGAAACATCTCAACTTTTTACGACATGTATTACAGTTCTCTAAAATATACGGTCATCGTTACGTGTTTCAAATACTTGCTTTAATGATAACAATCGGAAACATAATAATATTTGTAGCTGCAAATTTTTAAAGCAAACCTTATCTCAAACAAAATTTTAAACCGAATCATTCTTTATTCTGTCAGAGCTTTCGCAGAGGGATGAATTAATAAGTAAATTCATCCCTACTGCTAATAAGACATTAACTTATGTAGTCAATAAAAACAGGCCGCCCTTCCAGTAAAGATTTATTCCTTTCTCCTCCCCGGGACTTTTGAATAATGAAAACTAATTATTTTCGCCGACATTATGAATATGAATCGCCGGCGCTCATCTTTTTTTATTTTTCTTGGACAATAAACGACTTCGCGGAGCGAAACGGTCGCAACGGTCTTCAAACAATATTGTCCTTGGATAATGACAATGGATCTTCTTCCTTAAAGAGGCTTATAATTACTTTCTTAAGAGGCAAACGGGAAACAGCCAACGACTTAATTATAACAGAACTTCTTATTTAATCCCTGCTATATAACTATCTATACTAATATTATAAAGCTGAGGTTTGTTTGTTTGGTTGTTTTAAGGGTTCCGTACCTAAAAAGGAAAGAAGGGAACCCTTACAAGATCATTTTGTTTGTCTCTGCCAAGAACGCGTGGAGGTGAAGAGTTGAAATTTAAACCATATACTCAAATCTGCGGTCCCTTGAAGCTATGAAAAAATCAAACTTCTATCGTAAAAAAGGATACGACCGTTAAGGTATGTTACGCACCTACAAATTTGTATGGAACCCTTGATGTGCGGACCCGACTCGCACCTATCCGAATTTTTGTTTGAACGCGCTAATCGCAAGAATAAAAATCAAGTGAAAGAAGAAATAGCAATTAAAGTTATATTTTTATTTTTTGAAACAGTCAATGT